GGAGGGTGCTCCATGGGGAGTGTCCGTCTGAGGGAGGGGTGCTTGGGATCCCTGGGCTGAGGAGTGACTGTGAGGGGTAACTGTGAGGAGGGATTGGGCCCTTAGGAGGCCGGGTGCTTGGGAGGGGTGCTTGGATGAGGGGCCTGCAGTGTGGGGTGTCTCTTCCGGGTGAGGAAGGCGATAGCAGAGGAGGGTGCTTGAGACGTGTCTGTGAGGGATGGGGTCAAGGGTGTGAGGTAAGAGGACGCCTCAGTGAGGGCCTGTGTATGGGAAGAAATCAGTACCGCGTGAGGGGAGGTGTGCGGTGGTACTGTGCTTTGTTAGGGTGAAAGGAGGGTTTCCTGTGAGGGACGCCCCCCCACCGTGGTCTGTGTGAGGAGAGCTGAGCCGAGAGGGAGAAGTGGCATTGTCCGTGAGGAAGGGCTTCTATGAAGGTGGATATGTGGAGGGTGGAGAAGGGAGGAGTGTCTGAGAGATTAATGTAGAGGGTATTTTGTCTGAGAGGAACAGAGTTAAAATTTTGAGGTGCAAATGAGAGGAATATTAATGGATAAAAATTATACTTGAGGCAGGAGGGAGAAAATGAGGGTGATGAAAGTGACTGGGAAGGTTTTATGGGGTGAAAGCTGTAATGTGGACAGTGTCAAGGATTAAATAGAAAAACTGGAACGCAGGGATGATTGTCTGTTCCAGCACTGGAAACTGCTTTGATCGCATGTGCTCATTGCCCAAGTGACTGGCAGGGTCAAAAAAGAGCTATTTTGCATCTTTTTCACTGTTAGAAAGTAAATGAAACTCTTGAGCAATGGTAGCTACATCAAAGTTTTCCTGTACATCAAAGCTTTACTAGGTAGGAAGCTTTGGAACCGATCTAGCAAAGTATTATTTACTTGGAATTTGCTCGCTGGTTTTTAACATTGTTTCTAAAGAAGTATAAGTACAAATTCTCCCCTTCCCTAATGACTGGCTAGTTTTGAATGTTGGAGCTCAGTTACTGTCATAAAGTAAACTCTCCGATTGTAGATCTTACCTTTTAAGTATTTACTATTGTATCTGGAGGGAAAAAAAAAGTGTTTAGAAGACTTTTCCTAACAGTACTTTGAAGAGACACTGAAAATATTTGGCCCTAAGCCTGCCATGGGAAATGTGTGCACAACAGCAGATCTCCACTGATTTAATTGTGACAGTGCTCAAAGCTGTGTCTGAATTCTGAGTAAGAGAAATTGTAACTGCTGTATATCACCACGAGTTAGAATTTAAATCTCCTATTCATCATCAACATTGTTGTTTGCTATCCTCTTTGCCCCTTTGTGTTGCCCAAAATTTGTTGGAAGCGTTCTCTGTTGCAGTCAGCAGCTTTACCTGATTTGCAGCTCTTGCCACCTAATGTTTTTCTTTTGAGCTCTCCTTTGTTGTTGTTGCATAAAAATTTTGTTGCTATTACGAAACAGATTTTTGTGCTTGAGATATTGCTCAATTTTCACTTTGGGATTTACTTCATTAGGCATATCGCATGTTTATTTAGAAGCATATGCTCCACTTCATATGTTTTCACAATGATACGCGAGCTGCTTTGTACCCGAGTAATTTTAAATGGTAATTGTATTTTATTTGTAAAGAAAAACATGTAACCATATATACAAATTTATGTGAATTTAAGTTTGTTGCCAAACATACTGTAGGGCTGTTTCTTCATGAGTCTATGCTGTTAACCATCAGTTGTGTAAGTTAGGAGCCAGTTCCTGTTTCTGTGTAAAGTTGAGTACATACACATAGACTTGCGTAATGGTGATGTAGGTTGGGGGCTTATTTTATTCTTCTGTGTTCTTTGCTTTTCCTATTTTATAGGTCAGTAAGCATTGTGATTCTTGACTTAATTTCCACCCTCCCCAGTGATATGTAATAAATATGAAATATTTATATGATTTTTTTTTTACTATTAATGGATATAATTTTATAGGTTAATGGTAATCTACATGTACATTGGGAAAAGGGAAAAAAATAATTGAGGTATCTTTATATCTTTACTCACCCCTGAAAATATTAGACTTGCTGTTGATGGATGGTGACAGTGAGGAAGTACGGAATATTAATTTGTGCTAGTTCTTGTTTATGTATGGGTTTTTTTGGTGTGTGTGGGGTTTTTGGGGGTTATTTTTTTTTGTTTGTTTTTTGTTAAACAGTTTCAATTTTGCTTTGTAGAACCAAGTAAGTTTTCACAAACACTGAACGGAATTCCTTCTTCAAACACAGTCAGCAGTGGAATGGACCCCTTCCATGCTTGTAGTATTCTTCAACAGCTTAAAACCATGTATGATGAAGGACAACTGACAGATATCGTAGTGGAAGTGGATCATGGGAAAACATTCTCCTGTCATAGGAATGTTCTTGCTGCAATCAGTCCTTATTTCAGGTATGATAGTCCATTGTTCTAGTGGTGATCAGAAGCAGAATTATAAATTATTTTCATTAAATGAAAAGTAAAAAAAAAAAAATTATCACACCTATACTAGTATTCCATGTAACAGTCGATAATAGAGTGCACTTAGTAAGTAAAGATTATTGTTCTCTTAATGTCAATGAATTGTCAGTGTCTGTTTATCAAAGGAGAGTTTCATTGGAGAAAATGTCACAGGATTTAAAAAAACAAACAAAAATGCCTCCACTATTGAGGGTGTCTTGGATAAGGTAACAGCATATTTAAACTACTTGTTTCCTTTTTATAGTTATATATTCTAGTGTGCTAGAATACGTGTATGAAATAACATGTTGAAAGTTGAGTGCAAAGACTTGAATATGTCAAGAGCTTTGCTTGTAAACTGAGTGAATTTTAATATGGGGTTAGTGAAATAATTAAGCAAGAAATTCCAGCTTTCCACTTTTGTTTCAGTAAGTCTAGAACTGATGTTAAATTTAGGCATCCAAACAGGACAGTGTAACATCAGCGACAAATATATTTCTGCTGATATAAGGGCAAACACATTGGGATTAGCTGTACAGTATAATTTCATTTCTTATATCTGTAGTTAGAAGGTAATTACAAATAAACTCCTAAATATTTTTCTTTTGTAGATCTATGTTCACTAGCGGCCTTACAGAGAGTACCCAGAAAGAAGTTCGTATAGTTGGTGTTGAAGCAGAGTCAATGCATTTAGTATTGAACTATGCATATACCTCCAGAGTAATGCTGACAGAGGCCAACGTTCAAGCTTTGTTCACTGCAGCTAGTATCTTCCAGATCCCTTCCATACAAGACCAGTGTGCTAAATATATGATCAGTCATTTGGACCCACAGAACTCCATTGGGGTGTTTATCTTTGCTGATCACTATGGTCATCAGGAACTCAAAGACAGATCACAAGACTACATTCGTAAAAAGTTTCTGAGTGTCACCAAAGAGCAAGAATTTCTTCAGTTGAGAAAAGACCAACTGATAAGTATACTCGACAGTGACGATTTAAATGTAGACAAAGAAGAACATGTTTATGACAGCATTATAAGGTGGTTTGAGCATGAACAAAATAAGAGAGAAGTGCACCTTCCAGAAATATTTGCCAAATGCATCCGTATGCCTCTGTTGGAAGAGACATTTTTAGAGAAAATTCCTCCCATGTTTGCACAGGCTATGGCCAAAAGCTGTGTACAAAAGGGACAACATAGTGCCAATGGCTATACACAACGGCTTGGAATGACCGCTTCTGAAATGATCATATGCTTTGATGCTGCCCACAAACACTCAGGAAAGAAGCAAACAGTGCCTTGTTTAGATTCGGTCACAGGGAGAGTGTTTAAACTATGCAAGCCACCAAATGACTTGAGGGAGGTTGGAATTCTTGTATCTCCTGATAATGATATTTATATTGCGGGTGGTTACAGACCAAGCAGCAGCGAGGTCTCCATTGACCACAGAGCAGAGAGTGATTTTTGGATGTATGATCACTCTGGCAATAAGTGGATTCCGAAGGCTCCTTTGTTGCGAGCCAGAATAGGCTGCAAATTGGTTCATTGCTGTGGTAAACTGTATGCAATAGGTGGTCGCGTTTATGAAGGAGATGGGCGAAACTCACTCAAGTCTGTGGAGTGTTATGACAGCCGAGAGAACTGTTGGACAGCTGTCTGTCCAATGCCGGTAGCAATGGAGTTTCATAGTGCTGTGGAATATAAGGATAACATCTATGTTTTACAGGGTAAGGTGGTTTGACTGACTATACGGTGTTTTACTGGAAGTGGGGATTGTTCGGTCTGACTGTCTGCGCTCTCTTAAGCACCTTAGAAAACCCAAGTTTCCTGGACATCTAAAGAGTGCCCTGGGATAACGGGGTGGGAGGAGAGCTAGGGAGAGCTGTGGGCAAGGAAGATTGAGGTTACTGCTTGCTTTCTTGTGCCCTGGGAATGTGTCACTAAGTTGTAGTATTGAGCGATTGCACAAATGGCAGTTTTGGTGGTGTTCTAATTCAACAGTATAGTATTACATTTTACTGTGAAAATTCTTTATTAAATCTTCTTTATCTGGGTGAAGTGCACTAATGTTGAAGAAAAGATATTGTCCTGTGAAAAAGCACTTAGCTTTTTATTTAGCTAAAAAAAACCCTGTGAAAATTCGTGGTGTCTGCATTCTTGGTGACTTGTAAAAGTCAATTAACCACTGTAGATCTTCGTTTCCTGCCCTACCCTGCTTTTTGAAGTTGTCCTGGTAACTAAGAAAGATGATTTGTCTCTTTCTAGTTAACTCTGTTTCTTTGATCAGTAATTAGAGTACTCTCTTTATATCCTTTCTTCTGGTAAATGATCAGATTTATTGATGTATTAGATATTGATTCTTAAATGAATAAAAAGGATCATTATGGGAATGGATCAAATAATTCATTCTTCCCTTTATTTATGGAGATCTTATATACAATATGTATTTGCATGTATGCATGAGCCATACAACAGTCTACACTTAAAAGTGCTGAGACTGGTCTATGAGGCTGTAGTAAGAGTCCCAAGAAGTGGAAAGAAAGGAGGAGGGAGGTGTCTTGGTTATGTTTTGCTAAGGACCAGCCCTGTAAACACCTGCAGAAGTCAGAGTCTTAAATCCATACCAGCTCCCTCTTTGGGTCACTCTCCATACAAAGCTGGACTGCAGGAAAGAAACAGGAGAAAGAATACTGTAAGGCCATTGTTATTTACTGAACAAGTCAACCTGATTTCTTGACTTTGCGTTCCTGCCACTCGGTAAAGTCGGTGGGCTTCTACATGATTTGCACAGAGTTTTCATCTTCTTTCGTTGTTTCTGTATTAGGTTTAACTCTTGTTGGTTGTGGCTTTAAGTCAGTCTGTTACACTAGCAAGTTCTCTCAATCTGTCTCTTCTCTGGGGTCAGACATCTGCTTTAGATGGTTAAAAAGAAATGCTGAAGAACGTTTAACTTGGTAGAGTATTTGTTCATCCTTTAAATGTTTCTTCCAACTGCTAAAAAGTGGATATTATTATAACCTATAGAATAAGAGTGCATCTTGTTTACAAATCTTAGCTGCACTAATTCTGTGCTTCGGTGGTTTAAATGACAACTCAATGCTCGCATAAATAAGCAAGCTACTTCACTGTGCTAACCAGCAAATTATAAAGATTTGTGTTATGGGAAATAGGCAACTTTTCTATTTGAGTGTGGTAGATAAAACCTTGATTGAGTTGCACTGAAGTAGTATAAATAAGTTAAGTTTCAATAATTTTTCTAGAGAAAGCTCGTAAGTTTGAAGTAGTCGATAAGGATTGATAAGAGTGTTAAAATGCCAATGGAACACAAGCATCAATCATAGGAGATTATACTGTGGAACAAAAATGAATAATCAAAAAATATATTATCTGTAAGACTTAATCTCTTAAGTTGTGTTCCACCTATTTTACTGTATTATTTCTGTATTCTTTGTTATACTTGAGGTGCTCAGTTACGCAGCAGCTTGGTTAAAATTCTTATAATAGCCATGTGAAATCATATATGATTTGAATTATGCTAATATTTGGCAAATGTTAGGCCTTTCTTCTCCTGGGCTTTACAAAAGACGAGGTGGTGTTTGTCCATGTTCTTTTCATCAGTTTTGCAGAGCATGAGCTTTCAGTCATCTGAACTTCCGTTATGCACAGTCTGTAGATGCTACTCCGTGCAGTCAACAGAAGAGGTGGTTTATAATCCAATCACAAAACTAACAAGGAATCGTAGCTTCATGGAAGTATTCCACTGGCATACAAAATTATGTCATACAAAAGCAAATCAACCTAAATGTGTAACTGAGCTACCTGATACAAGTAGCTTCAGAATCTGTATGTGGTACAAGACACAATTATTTGCTCAGATTTAACAACTTTCAGGCACTGAATTCTGAGACTTCACAGTTTGTAGATGACATGTTGTGAAGATGTTAAAGAACAAAACAAATACTTCAGATGTATCAAGACTGGAATCTTGAAAGGTTTTCTCCCAAATTATTAAGCATGGTTTAGAAATAGTAAATCATAGCTAGGAAATGTATAAAACATTGTATTTCTGGTATACTTCAAATTCTCTTCAGCTGGAATAAAAATGCAAAGTAATTTTTACTCATACTATAAATATTTTTGTAATGCGCTTGGAAGAAAGCAGGCAATGGTGCTAGGTTTTTTTTGTTATGGGATCAAGGCTTTTAAAAATAGGTAAACCGTTTCTGTCTGTGGAAGAACATACCTGAAAGCTTAGTAGCTGCAAAATTGCTGTTCTGGAAATGAAGCATAAGTTACGTTTTATTTTTCCTCTCTCTTTTCAGGAGAATTTTTTCTCTGCTATGATCCTCAGAAGGATTACTGGGGATTTTTGACCCCAATGACTGTGCCTAGAATCCAAGGCTTGGCAACTGTATACAATGACTCCATCTACTACATAGCCGGAACCTGTGGAAACCATCAACGTATGTTTACCGTAGAGGCCTATGACATTGAACAAAATAAGTGGACTCGAAAAAAAGACTTCCCATGTGATCAGTCCATTAATCCGTATATAAAACTTGTACTCCTGAAAAATAAACTCCACCTGTTTGTCAGAGCTACTCAAGTCACTGTTGAAGAACATGTTTTCAGAACCAGCAGGAAGAATTCACTCTACCAGTATGATGAGGTTACTGACCAATGGCAAAAAGTATACGAGACTCCGGATAGGCTCTGGGATTTAGGCCGGCATTTTGAATGTGTTGTTGCTAAATTGTATCCGCAGTGTCTTCAGAAAGTTATTTAAAATTTTGTTTCAGTAACAGGCCTTAGTGATTTCAGTGGTAATCTGATGCTAGAGAAAACATGTCTTAAAAGAAAACAAAGACATTCTGTCAGTATTTATTGTAAGCTGAAACAGACAGTTTTTTGTATATGGGGATGGGTGCTCTTTAAAGGTTGCAGTCTGGGGAGGGAATTACTGGTTCAGTTTCATATTTACTGATATTTTCCTGGGAAATGAGAAGGAGGTTACAAAGTGCAATTATCAGCATTTTTTTTCTGGTAAACACTTAATCATGTCATACTAGAGGGATGTTTTTGTGGTAAGAGCAAATTAAGTGGAAGAGCCAGGATAACTATGCACTACAGTGGAAGAAAATCTAGCATTAATAGCTAAGGATGTCCAAGACCTTTTGAAGTGACTTTTCTTTTTTCTCTTTTTTTTAAATACGGGTAAAATTTGAGGCAATATCACTAAGTTGTTGGGATTTTTTTTTTTTAATTTCAGATTGAAAGTACATAGAGGAATGGTAGATTCTGATTCATGATGATTTTTTTCTTTGTATTGTTTTTGAAGTTGCTAAGATATTTGTGATGTTGTTTGTGCACTACAATTCGGAAGAAAAACTCAAGTCAGAATTGGGACATGGAGTACCTTTGCCCCGGACGGAGGCCTGTTCAGATTACTGTACCACTTCCTGTCTGTGGATTTTTGTTAAAATTGAGCTCAATGATGGTGCGAGGGGGGAGGAAATCCCAACACCTATTTTCTGCCACATACATGTAGTGCTGTAAAAACGTTTTTTAACACTGCTTAAAACTTTTTTTTTTCATCCCATAAAGGGCTTTAACCCAAAAGTTGATGGTGCTAGTACGTTTTTATTACTTGTTTGTCTGAAATGGGCTAGCCTTATGCTACTGTTTAAGACAGCCTGTTGTTATTCATGGAGTGTGTGTCTGTCTTCAGGCCCTGTCCTGTCATCATATTGTCTTTTTTAACATAACATTTTTACTGCAGTGGTATTCTTGCACAGAATGGTGACAGGATATGGCCTTAATAATATTGATTTTTTTTTCTTTTTGTGTGGAGTGTTCATTCTGTCTCCACTAAAGTACAGTGCTATGTGCAGAGTTGGCATGTGCTCCAGTAATTTGGAAAAGTGTGGCTTAACTTTACAAGTTGTTTTTCTTTTTTCCCCACAATCAAACCCTCAAATACCTTCTATTTCATTCTGATCTGTAATGTGAAAATTTGCACTACTGACCTGTCTTCATTATCCAGTGTATTAAAGCAAAATTGACAATAAGCGTCCATGACTTAATCTTAGATGCAAATATAGAATAGGGATCCAATATATTGTAACACTTTTCTCTATGTATTTAACACTTAGCTTATTTTTAAGAAGTTAATAAGTTCAAAGTTCAGCCTCTACTTCAGTAGTGAAAACTGGATTTAAAAGGGAAAAGATGCATCCTAAAACTCATATCGGCTATAGTTTGCCAGGTTTAATTTGTTACAGCTCTAATTTTTGCAGAGCTGCGAGTATGTTATCTTACTCTTCCCTGTTTTCTCAAACTGACCTAAGGAAACTAGTTAACTTGAAATGGCAGTGGCCATCACTGGCTGTAAGTGCTTACTATTATCTGGCTTAACAGCTGATATTTCAGTAAGCCAAATATTTAGCTCTTTGTTTATCCCCCTGGCATGGCTGAGGATTTGGAAAATGTTTGTTTACTATGTGGTCTTACTGTTCCCAAATGGAATTTTCTAATACACAAAAATACTTGCCTGGTTCTATTTCTTAATTCTTGCACAAAATGTTTAAAAGGCAAAAACAAACAAAAAACTGTGAAATTAAAAGAAAAAAAAAATGCCTCTTTGCATTACATACCTCATCTTCCAGGGATTCACCAAACCGCTTCTTTCAAATGTGAGCGCCTGAATTTTTTTCTGAAGTTAAAGTTGACAATTCTTGCTAAGACTGCATTTTCCAACAGTGTTGAGGTGTGTTATTTCTGTGTTTAGTTTTCTTCTGGATACTGTTTTATATATATCCATAGCCAAGAATAAGAGTTTTTTTTAAGAGTACAACTAATTTCATTTTTAAAATTATCCTTAGTCCTTGGCTAGCTCTCTTTGCGCTCTTGTAGGCCTCTAGCTGCAAGCTTTCTGAAGCACCCTCCCTAACAGTGTTGCATTTGTGTGTAAAACCATTTTTTTTGCGAAGTGTTATGTAACTTCTTTTTTGTTTTTTGTTTTTGTTTTTTTTAAGCTTGGTTGAATATTTACAAGACTTCTTGCTGCTTTTTGACAATCTTCTATATTTATTTAGTAGAACAAATTTCAATGTATTACTTGAAACTATGAAATAGATTGAGTTAGCAATTGACTGGTCGTGATGTATAGAAGTACAATATGCTGTGGTTAATTCTGCAGTAGGTTTGTTAATTTTGTTTATCTGCACTAAAGTATGAAGATCTCCATTCTGTTTAACCATTCAGACTGAGGGTGTGATCCAAGTATGTAATGTGTTTAAAAGCTAAATCCTGGAACTTGCCGTGGGAGTAGAATATACTAAATCTTTTGCATGAGGAGTTTGTTAAGACAGTAATGTAGCTGTGACATTTTGCCAATTCTTAAATGCTTCTACATTTTGCTGAAAGTCAGATTCCTGGTAAAATTTTGCTTTAGAGTCAGGCTTAAGTAAACTTGCACAGCACAAAAAAAAATAAATAATTGCACCAAAGGTACTGATAATATTTAAACAGTAATCTGTTCATTTTCCCCACTTGGTATTTTTTTTCTGCATTAATTTATTTCCCTTTATTAAATGAATTTCTAGCATTGTAAGGACTTATGTGAGTGTAAATCTCTTTTCCAAAATTGTTAGTTACTTTAGAAGGAAACATTTTGTAATTTCCACTTGATTCCATCAGTAAAATTTAGAATAACTAAAAGCAGCTTTGGTGCACCAAACATGCAGCGTGTGTATGTTCTACAAGAAATCAAAGAGCTCCCTGTTCGTAAGGCTGTTTAGAAATGGCATCCAACATTCAGTGCTCAGGTATGTTAGTAAGAAGTACTGTAGTCCTAAGAGGGCAAATGTGTGGATTTTTAAACATTTTGCCATAATTGCACAATTTTGCATTTTTACTTAATGTCATGTTATGTTTCTTAAAATAAACCTATTGTTGAAATACGATGGAGTTCAACTGGTTTTGTGATAAATCTATTGCACGCATTTCAGTAGAGTAAATTTCTGAAAATTAACCCAATGATGTGTCTTTTCAGTGCTTGTTCTGTTCTTCTGTTTCTGCACTTGTGTATCTCGGCTTATGTAATGTCACTTTTTTAAGGCAGCACTACGCTGTTGCTTGAGGTGGAAGGTGCTTTGTTCTGCTTTTTTGTCTTGTTCCTTGTGGCTATTCAGGTCTAACTTCGCATTTGCTTACACACAGGCGACATAGTCTTTCCACTTCCCTTCCTGTCTTTGACTGCAGCTGACATAGGAATGTCAAGTAGGGCTTTCCAGTCTGATAATACTGTGTACTGGAAATCCCTGGAACACTTTGTACTGAATTTCCTAGCATCATTACTTAGGGAAGTTAATTTCCAGGTGGTAAAAGCAATGGAGAGAGCACAGGGATGTTAGTTGCAAAGGAGTCTGCTGCAGAGCTGAGAACAAGAGGCCTCCTCTCTCCTAGCTGCTTAAGTAAAACTCCAGCATCATATGTGGCTTCTGATGTAGTGGTAGCGCTTAGCACATCTGCTTGTAAATTAGACTTTTTCTTCAAGAACCTTTATTCCTTTTCAGAGACTATCTAATGACTCTAGAGGTGATGCCAAGTCATTACAGCCCAGGAAAACAACATGAAGTTCTCTTGTTTGGGAAGGCGCTCCTATTGTCAGGTTCTAGCAGGCATTATTTCAACCCTCCCACTCCCAACCTGTGAACTTGTCTGGGTGTGATTTGAAGACTGTTCACCCCTCAGTTTGGTCATGGTAGAAACAATTCAGGAGTCCGGGCTAGCGGTGACTCTGTATCTCCACATCGGTAAGTCAGACTGGATTGGCTGCCTAGGCCGTCCGTGCAGCAGGCGGACGTGGCGGACTGCTTGTGAGCTATGCAGTGTGGTACCCACCTTTCTGGAGACTGCTGCGTGATGATCCTAACCTTGGGTGAGTTTATGCTAACAGGTCTACATTCCTGGTCACCAAATGGTACGCTCCCTCCAGTCAGACTGGATAGCAGCCTGCAACTTGCTAGTTACAATGCCCAAGGGTCCCAGCCTCTTTGTATCACCGGTTTATTTTGTCTGATCACAGCATTGTTCCTCATGTAATTCAGCTTCTTTCCTCCAGCCTACATCAACGAGTACTGGACAATCTTGGTATCTTTTCTGTTTGCAGCTTTCTGTTGCTGGGAAGACTGCTCTGCTGGCTAATTTCTCTGGAGAAAAGGCACTGCTTGCCTTCCTGCGTTCCTGTCCAGATCTGCAACTGCTCTGTTAAAAACCAGAGATGCATCCTCTTGAAGACCTAGCAGAAAAAATGGCAAAGCCAGCACAGACGAGGTAGGCTTGCTGTTTAACTTATTTTAGTGGGCTGAATAAATCAACAACTCGCACTGAACTACTTACTTCCACATGTGAGGACTCAGCTGGGGCCATGAAATACTAATGGCTGCTGTGAGGCAGATCTAGATTTGGCTGTGCTTTCATGCTATCTTTGGAGTTTGCTAATAAAATAGTCACTGAGAGACCAAATTGTCCATCTCCAGTATGGAATTTGCAGTTGTAGTTATCAAATACCCAAATGGTAAGAGCATCCTAACGTGAGTCTCTCCCTTTCTGCTGTCTCCTTTGTATGGAGCACCTTTGCTCTGTCCAAAACTCTTAAGAACTTGTAAGGGAAGATCCTCTAGTGTCACGTGATGGTTTTGCAAGTGATGGTTTTGCAACATGCTAGTATGTACTGAGCTGTTGGGACTTAAAGAAATCAAGAAAGAGCTGAAGCTGACAAGA